CGGCCGGAAATGAAGAACCGAAGTGCAGAGGTACATGTAATAACTGTGGAGCGTCCTACCTATTTTAGTGACAGTTTGAGGAGTGCAGGCGATGATGAAGCACAGCAAAACGAATGAAATCTAAATTGAATACTATGCAAGTTACAGAAATGACTTTCACATCGAAGCAAAAGGTCAGAACATGCTGTGGGAAAGAGCGCAACCCGCGATAGACCTTGGTTGGCGTGTGGCCTTTGTCAAAATAGTTTCCTCCTTTGGTTCAAGACCAGTTGTTGCAGAGCATGTTCAGAAATTAATCTATTCAACAAAAAATTCAGCCAACAAGAACAAGCATTTAGGCGCTGTGTGCAGCCACTTGTACACTTACTATACTACTTACAATTAGATATAATGGACAGTTATATTTTACTGATCACAGTGGTCACTCGAGGTCTCACCTAGGAGACTTGGCATAGCTTTCGACAGTCACGCCAAAGAGTTCGTCATCTAGAAAAGGGGTTTAGTGGGACACCTACCGTCGATTCTATTACTGTATGCTTGAAACCCTGACTTCGCTTACTAAATCAGAATAGTCTACTCAAATAATAGTCAGGGAAGCTTCCTCCTCATTTACATTCGAGATTTGGTAGGATCTACTCCATTTCTGTAGGAACAGCGACCAACCCGACGACAGTGGAAGCCTCCAACCTTTCTTTTCCATGTCTCTGACAAAATATCTCCGAAATCAATCTAGCAACTTCATTTTACGGTCTCTCAGTTGTACTGTTTATCAGAGGGCTGTCAACTACTTCGACAGAGACCCTGCCATATAGCTGTATTATTTCAGTCGATATCGGTATGAGCTTGGGATATACTCGGAACTAAAGAGAATTCTGAGATAACCCGGAACTTTGAACGAAAAGTGAGTCTGAGTCATCCCGAAACCTTTAAACAGATGGTGTGTTTGTTAATGTCAAACAACGGATTAAAGAGAAATCAGAACTAACCAGCATTTCTGTCCTTGTCGTCCAGCTTTTCGGTGAATTACTGATTAGGAATTTTATTCAGAAGATTAGAGTGTGTATGAGATAAGTACATTATATTGTTGTCAAATAGGAGTTTATCAGGAAAGATGCAACTGCAAAGAACGCTTTTTCACCGGCAAACGGCACAAGTCATAAAGTGAGATATGCAAAGCTCGTGTCATGATTCATCATGATTTCGTTGACTAAAGTGCCATCTATCGTAGCAAAATTAGGTTTGGAAGATAACCAATGGATGATCAGGAACCTGTAACCTGGTGGCATTAAAAGAAAATCGTGCACGGCGTACTACATTCGCTCAGAACCAGGCCTAAAGCCTTTCTTTTCTTCTTACTCTCCCTTTCAGTTCCATTTTTGATTTAATCCTCAGTTGTTGGTTTCAAGGGTATAAAACAGTCACGAGGTCTATTATCAGATTAACAACGAACCAGGAGGTTTTGTGCCTATTCTGTTAAACTGGCTGGGAACGTTTTGTTACTATTTCCGGGTCTGAGCTTTTGAGAAGAAACAGACTTGAAAATTAGCACTCGTGTCTGCCACCAGTTATTACAATCTTGCCTGCATTCCAGCAACTTAGAAATGTCGTCCGTCCTAAGTGCATGCAAGTTTTGGATAATGTACGGCATGAGCTCGATCTGGACCCGAAACAGGCATTGAAGTATTTCCAGTTCAGGCAGCTAATTAAGTAAGGGAATAACCCTAGCTATGTAGGCTGTGCCCATGAAGTGCGACAGCGAGAGGTGAGTATTAAGTGCCATTGTTGAATGAGTTCCGACTTCATTTTCCTTTATGCGATGAGCGGTATGACGTAATCAAATTATTTCTAGACTATGTATACAATTGTTCTAGGCTAATGAACGATTCTTTCCCGATCTTGTGTGAAAACTAGCACTAAAAATATTTTCTACCATTGAATCATCTTACTCAGGTCCCCTCTCTCTCCCTTCCCCTCTAACCATTCCATCAAGTTTATGCCCTCTTTTTCATTGAAGCAAACAACATTGGTGTCGAGGGAATGGACGAGTTTCCTGCTCCTTCATGCAGCTTGCGGCAGTACATCGAATTCGAGACGTCAACAACGGAATTGGCCAGCCAAGTTATTTCCTTCGTGATGGCCGTCAGATACTGGGGAAGCATCTCCGCAAAAGGCGTAATACGCCAAAGCAGTACGATCTTGTCTAGTAGAAGATGCGAGAGCCTAAATCAAATGCAGAATCTCAAATTGAAAACAACGTAAATTTGTTGTCTAATAGTTTATTTTAATCACGTTTATAGCGATCGATTGTCACACGTTGAAATCTCCAGCGACAATATCAGCTTCGATATCGCAATGGTTTACTCCACGCAAGATGCGGAAATAACCTAAAAATTATTTTTCATTGTATATTGTGCGAACAGAAGAGAAAACAGCATATGATTCAACATTATATTGAGAATTTTCGAACCTAACGCTATTCAAACCTTCACCAAAACTCTAATGGGATGATTATTGTTCTGATCCCTTCATTCTGTGCTTCTGTCTTTATAAATACTCATCGGGAAAAATAGAAGTTACATTTGTCGATTTAGCCATTTTTAGCTCAAGTTAGTCGACTTTACAAAAGTCAATCAGGTTGAGTTAATATTCAAAGCAATATTACTGAAAAGGACAAGGACCGTGATGTTTGACAATACCGCGTCCTTCTGCCCCTCAGCAAGATGACCTCAGAAGCTCTCAAAAGTAATGCTCTAGTGCAGTACATGTAGATTGGAAGTGGTAGAGTCCAAGAGAGCCGTCTCTGTGATGGCTCGGGATTCGAATGTTTTTGACTTTATCAAAACCACGTACCATTCTCGCCCCAGTCGGTATTCCACGAGTTGGCAACCGTCCAATACTTCGTACCATTTTCGATTCCCCACCCAATGATTTTCACTGCATGACCGCCTCTTTCTTCACCGGCTGTGTGCTGAAGAAAGAAAATCAACTGGTTGAATCTGTACAATGGAAAATCAATTGGCATGAGGATGACAACAATTTGCAGAGAGCTAAACCTGTTGATTGCTGGATTTAACTTTTTTTGTAACCATATACCATAAACTAGGTTTTCTAGACATTAGATGGGTAACAGCGACCTCAGACTGCCCACAGCGACGACATGCTCATCCAAGCAACCCTTTCGTCTTAACAACCTCGTAAAATCTCTCGTGACACTCACCAATTCTGTTGCAGCAGTGACCGCTGCTGCACTGCCTACCTTAGAAGTGGATGTGCAGTGCCATATGCCGGTGGTAGCCAGCTGCCGCAGAGTATCGTTGAACCATTCTTTGTTGTCGTTGTCGTCGCCTCCGGTCGTCATCATGATTTCATCATCGTCTGCCTCCCGCCTTGTTCGTCTTTCCTCTTCCATCGTCCGACTATTCGTCTACGGCTAACCATATTCCTTTCAAGACTATATCTAGCCCTCTCGAGGCATAGTGCTACCTCCTGGGTAGCCTACCTTCGCAGAGCATGCTGAGTAGAACGTTGATAGAAAGAGATCAGGGCCTAGAGGATTGAAGTGGGAGCGGTTCAACACACCCTACTGCGCCATGGCCTAGAAGGCGAGAAGTTGTTCGGGCGTTTTTACCGTGAACAGTTTGGTAGGGCATGGTCTTAGAAGTTTGTGTACCATCTGGTGATTTCATGCGTACCCATGCTTAGGTCGCCCTTAACTGCTCTTGACGGAGTGAGGTTCACAACGAATTAGATTGGATCATTTTCACTTATAAGTTGTATGTGGAATCTTGATCTTACCACATATATCCCATTTTTGTAATGGGAGAAGTCTTCATATACAATGAAGCCCGCTTGAACTGGTCCATTTCTGATGATTTCCTCTTGAATAGCTACCTCACCTCCATCAACAAAATCTGCCGATTTAGCTGAAAACAAAGCCGACGTAAAGCAACTGTATGGCCTAGGAGAAAATCAGTGAACTGAACGGCAAAGCATTGTGAAATATTAGGTGAACTGAACCCGGGGAAATTTCGGTCTTTTTCTCAAGTCTACAGGGTCCGACAGAGCCTTAATATACAGTAGCGCTCAAAAGTCTTCGACCAAACGCTTTTACGCTTTTCGTTTATAACTTTATTCTTAATGGAGCGAATCGCGCGATATTCTGATATGTTTAACTGAAGCATACTTCACGCTATCCATTCCTAGTTGAATGCAAAGTAGCAATATCCACACTAACTGGAGCAAGGCGTTTGTTGCGCTAGCAGACTTCGCTAAACGCAAAGTTACTGACGTCTTAGTTATTGGCTGCTTTCATATTCCGCCGTCTTCTACGTCTGTTGCAGAACCTGTTCTGACCGTGAAATAAAATGCAACAGACGTAGATTTCAACTAATTCGTTTTACGTCAGTTCGCCGGCTCTCTCGCCGGCCGGCCGGCGGACTATGGAAGCAGCCATTCGCACCTTATGTGCGTTTTTCTTATCTACTGTGTTCGGCATTAGCGCTCGTACAGTTTAGACATGGCAGAAAGGAAAGAAATTCCAGAAGGACCATCATTGGTGTCTCCAGTTGATTTTGAGTACAAGCCCTTTGGGATATCTGGAACATGATCGCACGTTGATAGCGGAGAATATCCACAATTCACTCATGCTACACATGTTGAAATTTCGCATGATTACATCAAATAGGAAAGGAGTTATGACTAAAAAGTACAACTGAAGAAGCAATTTGCCGAAGGCTTCTGAGCATTACCGTATATGGGGATGCACCACGCGAGATATTCCCCTCCGAAGAGTAACAATAGAAAGGACAGTAGGTGACCATAAACTCCCGTTTTCACGAAACTTTTGTCGAGCTGATAGAGCTGCTAGACGATAGCGTTTGTTTCGCTTATGTTTGAATGAGCAACAATACTCTATCACTAGAATGACTTTCCGCAGCGGTTTAACTCAAGAAAATCCCGATGAAAATTTCTGAGAGCATGTTAGCCTTGGGTAAGTTAAACCGAAAATTTCGAGCATACCATAAATCTTATCATTTTTGTAACGTTTTCCATATCCATACTGACAGTACTGTTTGCACGTTGGTGTACGGTATAATCTGTCTTTCGGACAGAAGCCATAGAATGTTTGATTCAAGTGATGTCCACACGGATGGAAGGGATACGGCTTACAGACGCCCTGACAAGCTGTTTTTAAAGTCATATAAACAGACGTAATACATTTCTTTTTTTCAATGATTAGGTTCTAATTTCCTTCACCACTAACAATTCTCTTTAAATTACCTGCTCCTGGTACGGCCCTCCGCTGCAGACTCCGAACTTTCTGGCATAATCCCAGGCTTCTATAGGATAGCCTCCGTGACACCTACAGATGAAGCTGGCTGCTATAACTTTATACAATAGCTTTTATTATGATTATCTATCAGTTGCCTTATGTTTTAGACTGATATTTCAGATTGGCTAAGCCGACGGATTTATTCAGACAGAGATATCCCATTGGAGGCCGAGTTAAGTCATGAAATCGAGTTACTATTAGGGCTTGTCAGCGCATACTTGAGAAAGAAAACCCCTACCAGTAGGATTTTTGAATCGTTGATGTTCTTGTACCTACTATCTACATATTTATGAAGGTTGTGAATGGTTACGATAAGACTTATAAGTCGGCATATCAAAAATGGAGGCTAGTCGCAAGCTGTATTACTGTATTGCCCGCAGCCGAAGCTAGCCAATCTGTAGAAAAGCATATCTAGTCATCAAACACATTGACTTGGCCACTACGATGAGAACTTGCTGTCGTAACTATAGACTCACCCATAGCCGCATGACTCTCCACAGCACGCAAGAATATCAGTGTCCGAAACTGTTGTCTGAAACCGTGTTTATTAAACAATAATCTAATCAGGCAATCTTGAGTACGGTGTTTGAAAGTCTCCCAAAAATTCGACTTCGTGTCTCCATGAATTTCCTAGACGAGTCTCATTGGAGGAAAGTAAGGACAATTCCATTATATTCAGTGAAGCGGATAGCAAACGGGGACTCGATTTTTATCGGACAAATTGATATCCGATATAAAGTCGATCTTCACTATTTTTATCGCAGTTATGAGTCCATGTTGAGAGAAGCAGAATGTTCAAATATTCAATTCGTATTATTTTTGGTGAAGTCCTCTACTCACGATGTTCCTGTGTGTAGTACACGGTTAGAAATGGAACTCTTTCGGCATTATTGACACGATCGGACCAACCTTTACTCTACCCCTTGATTGTATACAAATGCGATCGGACATGGTTTCCGCCGCTGACACAGCCCAGCATGAGCCTATAAAGACACTTTTCAACATTCCTTGCAATTTCTTCACAATTTCCATCTTACGGGACACACTGGTTTGAGTCTGTTGTAGTGGACCCTACACTAGACTGAATCTACTGGGTGTAAAAAGTCCTTCGAGCTGTGATAGTCTCAACGGTTTCCCTAATGGTAATCCTAGCCTATTTTCCAGTGGCACATTTTGAATACCGATTAGTTAGTACTGACCACATTATTATTTTTCCTCAAAAAGAGAAACAATCACACTTTTACCGTACCGCAATTTGATTGGTCGCGAATATATCCTATGGAGGGACAGTTCTTCCATTTGTCTCTTGCGTCAAAGCTGAATAACAATCTTCAGATTTTGATTGGTGAGGAGGGTGTTGCCAAATGAATCACTTCTAAGTAAACAAATTCGGAAAATTCAATTCGTCGTATATTCTTTCCCCCTCGATCCATGGTGAATTCAGCTCTCGATTTTGACTAGACATGGATGCAACAATTCGTCGTATTTTTTTACCCTTTACGATCCATGTTGAAATCAGCTCTCGATCTAGACTAGACACGGCATGCACCCACATCGCTTTTCCCAATCATTTCAAGGATAGATATTTGCTAGGAAGAGGGAACAATGCTAAACAATATCGTATTTTCGAGCTTTCAAACGTCCGTTTTAGCGAGGCTAGATCGAGTGAGACATTGCAATAGACTAGAGTGGGTAGTAAGGTGTATGTTTATGGCCTCAAAAAAGAAGCTGTGTATGGTTCCATGGCGCAATAGTACGACACTTCACTGATTTCCCTCAACTTTGTGATTCATCGAAGAGTGTTGTAGAATTCTCTTTTTTCCTAATGAATCCGTGGACTAATAAATTTTGATCCACTTGATGCGCTCTAATCGTCTAGACAACGCACCTCTTTATCACGGCTCAAAGAAAGACAAGACTCGCTCGCCTGTTAATGATAAACTATCGAATCAGAGCAGATCACCTTTCAGGAATGTTGGCATTGATGACTGATTTATTCGTTCTTGCCTTGATTTTGAAACTACGAGGTTTCTGGAGAAATTCAGTTTTCATCAAACTTCTCATGCGTAACTCGAAGAGTGGCGAGTATTCTGCCTGGAATCTGTTTTAAATTATGGATCAATTTTTCTTAAGAGTTGAGAGGAATAATAATATGGAGGGCGAGTTCCTTTTCTACTGAATCATTATGTAGGAGCTGCACCTTGAAAAACGGCTGTTGTTTGTTTACATAATCCACAAGAGCTTTTCCTCTCAGTTTATGAGCTTCTTTCGGAATCGATCGAGCAACGAACTCATCTGCAACTAGAGAGTCATTCAAAGGCTGATTTCTGTATGAAGCCACTGAGAATGACTCAAACTTCTTACCTGCTGTTATCAACCTTGCAGATGAATGAGTAAAAAGGAAAGAGATGAGAGCAAATAGGACCTAAAATAAAGAACTCAGAACCTCTTTCGAGCTGCTCAGAGATAGACTAGGGTAAGAAGTGTGAAGAAGGAGCAGAGGTATGTCTATTCCGAACTGATTAAGGAAAATGGTTCTATATGGAAAAGTGTACGTGAGAATGAAAAAAGTGAATGAAATGAACGATCAAGTGAAGGACAATGGCAACTCACCAACATTTAGAATGTCACCGATCTCAATTTATTATGACTCATGTTCCTGACTATTTATGTCAATCTAAGGAGGATTACAAAGCTGTAATGCCTTATCGTGGACTTTAACCGTGGCCTAATCCGAGAATGAACTCACCAAAGCCTATCGATGAGTCGTCAGTATGAAATGGAGTCTTCTTTTGTTAAAAAAAGGAAAAGCATGCCTCCAGTGTCTCAGCACCGTTCGATCAAAATGACAGCTATTGCTCATAGGGGAGATAGAGCAATCCTTGAAGTAGCTGTAAATACTAACAGTGACTGCTGTATCGCTTTTCCGTAGGATATAATCAGCGACGGCATTTTCGGATGTGAAATTCGTACGTTGCTTAAGGCAAACGTGGGAAAATTTCTATCGCTAACAACACAACGTAACCCAATTATACGACAAAAGCTTTTTCTTAGCTAGGAGTTTGA